CTAGAAGAGGTGAAAGTTCTGCATTCCAAGTATGTTTGGTTTCTAGATAGGCTGCCTCATTAAAAGGCCCAAGAATCTCAGGTTGTGGATCTTGGCTCCCAGGTCCTCTGGGAATGTTGTCATAGCTGAGCCATTTCCTGTATTTCTTCCACTTGTCCAGAGGTATGGCAGAACCTGTCAAAATGGCATCTTTCCAAGAGGGGTCAATGACCAGGTATTTACACATACACATAAACATGAAGTCTCTGGTAAGTAATGGCACATTTTTGTTCTGTTGATGTGATGGTAACTGAAAATTGATGAAATTCACTAGTGGACAAATCAGGATTTGAGCCTTGATCTGGGGTAGACTGGGAATGCAGGTTAAGGCCTGAGTGACAATGGCTACAGCCCAACCTCCAATACTCTCTCCACAGAGAACTACCCTGGATGGGTCCACCCCAAAGGATGCCAGGTTCTTCAGGAAATAGATGGAAGCATTCTGGCAATCATTGATAAGGACAGGGTGATGGTAGCCAGGAAGCTTTCGGTACCTAAGGAGCAAAGAGGAAAATCTGTGAGCCTCTTTACAACGGGGTCACTGGAGGCCATTTCAATCATCGTCCTCTACTCTCAAAAGGGACCAAACCTGACTCCATCCCTAGAGTGATCCTAACAAGCAAACATGGAAACACGCACTTTTCTTCATGGACCTGAGGGCCCTTGAGCATGAGGGAGGCCAGGACGGTCCATCGTCACCCACACTGTGCTTCCCATAGAGAGCACACCCTGCACAGAATCCACCAAGTTCCATCATGGTGTCTTAGAAAACAGAGCAACCAGCAAAGATGCAGGAAAAGCTCCTGGAACTCTTCTGTTCCACCTCTTCCTCGATTCACCTTTCCCTGATGTGCTGGGCACACAGTTCACATTGTGAAAATCACACTTTAAGTCACCATCTATGTTAGTAATAATGCGTTCATTCTAATGTTTATTTTCCTGTGACCAACAGCAGTGCTAGGACATTAGGCAGTTGGACTCTGATAGGGAATGTACTGTGTATGTTTATCTTATTGATTGTTAAATAAATTACTGTTTGGCCAATGAGACAGCAAGTTAGACTGGACTAGGAGTCAAAGAGGATTCTGGGAAGTGTAGTAGAGAAGTGTGATCCAGGCAGGAAGCAACATAGCAAGGAGACTCATATTTAAGCGAAGGAGAAACAGGAAGCGTCCCTCTTTTACCCTCTGCTCCTGCTCCAGTGGCACAATGTGATCCACCGGCAAGGAGGGACGCCAATAAGGCCTCCGATAAGGTAAGTCTTATAAAATATATAGGTTTATGATAGTTATGACTGAGCTAACAGATGAGAATCCTAGTCATTGATTGGCCAAGCAGCATTATACCTCATACAAGTTTCTGTGTATTCATTTGGGCCTAACTCAGGCGGGTGGCTCGCGGAAGGCTCACACGTGGCGGTGGGGCTCAGGCGGCTTTTGGAGGAAAGATTTATTGTAACAGACTCATTTCTGCGTTGACAATGATGATGACTGGTCCTTGGAAGAACTCAGAAGCCTGAAGAACAGTAGTATCATAGGCCCAGGGACTATCCAGTGGCCGTGCAAGAGCAGAGACGAATCCTCAGGCATGACAGTGAGAGGAAGCAGAGAAGCTGTGCTGACAAAAGAAGCCAAATCCAGCAGTAGACAGACAGTAAGGGAGGCAGAGGCAGCAGTGGCCACAGCAGGAGACACAAAAGAAGGAGCAACTGGAGCTTTAAAGGACCAAGGATTCCACACACTCCCTGTCAGGAACTGCGAATAAGGGATTGTCAAGGCCTGGGGAATTGTGACCTGCTCGACCATGTCAGGAGTTGTATATTAAAAAACTAACAAACAAGCAAGAACACCCCATGTCTGGGCCCCCTTTCTGTGGTCTAATGCTATCCAGATGGTTCCCATAAATACCCTACCATATAGGAGTCACCAGTTGTCTCAGGCCACTCACCCCACCATCAGCACCACCGAGTCTGTCTCACTGGCCAAGAGGCTGCACAGGCTTTGGTAACGGTCTGCAAGAGAAGACCCAGTGTTAAAGCAGTGACAAGAGCCAAACACTTTCCACCACAGCTCTGGGACAGCAGCTACCTCGGTGGACCCAGAGAGTAAATCTTCTCTCTGAAGTCAGAGAAGTTCAGAGGCTACAGCAGGTAAAGGGCAGGAAGAGACAAGCGACAAGATTGGAGAGGACACCCAGGGTTGTGAGAGGTGTGCTGAAGCAGGGGCAGGCTCTGAGTGCATTTGGGGACCCTTCTTCTGGGAAGATGAAAGGTGGAGACAGGACACTGTGTTTTGGGTTCAGCAGTGCAGGGGAGGAAGTGAACGGATTCTCTCCACCATGTGTCCACACAGCTGAGGAGAGTGCATGCATTTGAGAGTGTTGTGAGAAGGCAGAAATGGCCACGGCCCCGAGCAGAGAGCAAAGGAAGGAATCATATCCAGTTCCAGGACAGCCCTACTCTGACACGCGGCCCCTATCTAGACTCAGACCACATAAAATATATTGCTATGTAAGCTAAAACCCACTGCCTGGGGTGAGCTCTGAGGTCTCTGCCCATCCTCTCTTTAAGAGGCTCCAACTTCTTCTTCCACTAATCCCCTCCTGACAGATCCCCATGAGACAGTGTTCCAGATCCCACGTTTGAGGAAAATCTGCCCTCCCCCTCGAATGCCAGCTCCTCACCCAGGCTTCCAATCATTGCACCTCCTCCATGATAGAAGATGATGCCTCGCCGGGGTTGGGAAGACGCTTTCTTGGGCTTCAGCAGCCTCACAGGGATTGTCCCAAAATGCAAGTCAGTCACCAACACGTTGGGATCCTTATTTATCGGCATTAGGCCTTCAAGAAACTGTAAAAACCGGGGCATGGCGCAAATCCTCAGTTTCTCAAGTATGTTCCCCTGCAGTAGGTGAAGGGTGGAAAGTGAGGCGTAAGAGAGAGTGGCGGGTGAGGAGCTGCTGAAGCCACTTAGCACTGCTCAGGTGTGTTCACCATTCCTCGCCTGCTTTCTCCACATGCAAAGGGGTCATGGGGACAGAACTCACTGTGCATTCTCTTCATATAGGGGGCCTGTTGGAAATTTTCTTCCCATGAGGTCCTGAATGATGATGCTGTGATAGGAGTGTTGGCCTCCCTCCATCAAAACTCACAGTGAAATTACATTGCCTGTGTTAAGAGGCTGGCATTTCAAGTGGTACCCTCTTAGTTAATTAAGTATTTTATGAGGCAATCATGATAAGTGTCTTCGTAATAGACTTCTGAGGAGGGAGGTCACCAGGTCTTTCTGTCCTATGAGCATAGGCATACCTTTCCTTTTCTACTAACAGGTAACATAAGATGGCCTATTGCTGGGACCACTGCTCCTAGGGCTCCCCAAATCCCAAGAATGGGTACAGCTATTCATCCTTGCCCTGGGTTGCACCAAATTGCTTCGTGAGGTTACAACAAGCCAACAGAGGTGAAGAAATCAAAGGAAACCCATGGATAATCCTCAGGATCAAAGAGCCAGGTAGCTAATTGAGGCAATTGATAGAATATTTTCATTGTATTATAACATGGTAATACATGCCTTTTAGTGTGTCTTTGGACACTGAATCTCAAGGCCAATTTATATTTTCATGAAACCATCAACAGTGTGTCTTGAGAATCATACCCCACAGGTGCATTCATAATCCCACTAATTGTCATGGGATGGTTTGCAGGACCTGCTTTATTACTCTACCCATCCTGTGTAAAATCTCCGTTGCATAGACTGCAGTTTGCTAATCTGTTAGTGTTGTACAGATTGAGAATTAGCCTAAATGGAATACAGGAGCACCCCAAGAATAGAGGATGGAGAATGAGAAATTTACTCAACAGGTTGCAAGGAGCAGGCATAGCTATAGAATCCTTGGGAGTGCTATGGTCCACTAAGACATATCTGAAACCTGGCAAAGTAAGTGAGAATATCTTACATTGTCAAGTTTCTCCAAATATTCCTGGACTGCTGGGTTGTTGGCATATTTACACATCCCACTTTGCCCAAGTTGCATACCCACTGAACAACTTGGCAATAAGAGTGACCATATGGAACTCAGACAAATAGCACAAGAGACTTTTAATGATGCTAAGATCACCTTTTCTCAGAAGGTTTAGATTACTGTGGGACAGGCTAAAGAGCTGTGTGTACTTCTACCCCAGTGTGGACAACAGGTGTGTATGGGGCATTAAATGAGTCAACCTTACCCAAGAGAGACTAGTAAGTACACTTCATAGAACCTGTGCATTTCTGGGAAGAATGAGAATATGTCTCCATGGACATCATTACAGGTTTCTTGCCACATTTTCCATGTACGAAGGAACCATCAACGCCTCTATCCAGCATCTCCCACAACACAGTGGTAAAGGTGGGCACTCACAGAGAATTGACAGCGCCAAGAGTAGCTGTTTCACAGACTCATGAGGCAAACAGGAGGGAATACACTCAGGACCAATGACATATCAACCACCATACAGTCCCAGTGGGCCTGGGTTATTATTTAACAGATTATTAGAACAAGAGTTAAAGAGCTTAAGGACAGAGACAACTCACAGGGGTGAAAAGCCCCCCCCCCCAGGCCATCGTTTGTTAAATGAAAACCACAGGTACCAGAGAGAGGTTTCCTCCTTACACATCATTGCCCAGGCAGGCACCAAAACCCAAAAAGGCTCTTGCCTCTGCAGTTGGTAAGACTATTGCTAGAGACACCGTGTGGTCTGGTTACAATGCAGGGAGAAATAAACCTGGGACAGAGGTGAAAGTTTTCTTCTTACTGGCTGTCTTTCATAGTGCCCGAAGGTGCTGTGTGCACTGCTGGAAGAAAACTGTAACAGGATGCCCTGCTCAGCTTTGGTCCCTGCATGCTATTGTACCAAATGCCAAGCAAGGTGTACATGATTGTGAAATGGTAACATGACCTTTGTGGGACAATCAACAGCTTCCCATTGCATGTGATGCCTACTACATATTAGTGAGTTCATGTCTGGTACTGTAAGCCAAGACAAAATCCGGTGTCTAGGGAGGCCATAGCTACCAGAGGGAAGCCCTGATAGTGTTTGCTGAATGTGTACGATGTGCTTAGCAAACTGCCTTCTGAACATTTGTGCATAAGCCCAGCAACCACTGCTGCTGTTGCCCTCAGAATTCCTTTTCAGTGGATGTTGTATCTCAGAGGAGCAACAACCACCAATGACTCTCCTAAGAGCAAGTGACTACTGATGTGGTTGGCACAGGGCTCTCTGAGCAGAGGTGCAGAATGGAGGTTCTCAGGCCTGTTAATCAGCAAAAGGCCCCAAAGGACTTGAATATCTGAGACCAGAGGCCACATTCTTGAGAAAGACACTCTCCAGCTCCATATCATACTGCTGGCTGCTTCTTCCTCAGAGGCCATCACTGCACTGCCCAGACTCCCTTGGAAGCCATCGAAGACACTAATGCAAGTGTGAAATGACATAGATGTCTTCCTTCACCGAGCCAGAAATCTATGAGGAGAATAACCCCAAACATGCCATTCCACTCCTGCTCTCCACCTCTACACTAAATAATAATTGATTGTCAACAATTTTGAACAATGCTCAGGAATGTATGAAACTTTCAAAGAATGAATAAGTATTCTTTTGTATTGGTGTTGAGGACAAAAAACAAGGCCAAGCTTCTCCTTTGGGGACCATGGAATGTTTCCAGGCTATTTTCTCTCCCAGGTAAACATCTTCTCTCTCCTTTCTCTGCTTTGGGCTGTGGGAACATCAACCACTTGGGTCTCTTCATGCTCACCATTCTCTTAGGCAGCATGTGTGGGATCTTCAGCTGGAGAGATCAGGCAGGGTCTCTCACATAGAACACATCCTGCAGAGCCAACACCACACTCAACCCCACATCTACTGTGAGCATATATAATAAGCAAGCATCAGCAGGTGCTTAGCTTAGGGACTGTTTTAAAAGTAAAATAGAAGGATTATAATGATCCACAGGATTCTGTGCCTTGTGAACCCAAGGCCCTAATTTGTAGTGCCAAGAGTTCAGATAAGCCTGAGGCGCTTAAACTGTCTTATTTCTCTAACCTGGTTCATGGTTTGTGGTGGGAAATCCTCACAGGAAAATGAACATATGTTTTTACAACTATTAGCAGCATCTTTATTCAGAAGTCATTACTTCAATGCAGACCAGGATGCTGAGGCACAGAAAAATTAGGCATGGGGCTCTCGAGCCGGTGCAAACACAGCGTCAATGTGGACCAGGATGCAGAGATGTACACTTGTCAACTTTCTCCTGACACCTCCTACTCAGCTGACCTTTGAGATAATCACTGTGAAATATCTGGCAACTCCCAGGTTTCCAATTAGAATTTCAACATCAAAGACTTATCCAAATTGCCTATGTCTCATATGGGGCCAAACAACCCGTCACTCTTCTACCGTAACTATTATCATGAGCTGATCTCTGTCCTCAATTTCCAGCCCAGAAGGCCAGCACAGAGCACCACTGTTTGTGCACCTATGCTAATGGGCTGGGTGAATCCATCACATTGATGTCATCAAAGAGTGCCTGACCTGTGCTCAGAATAAAGTTGAGTAAATTTATCTCTGTCCTTAGGGTCTCACTTGGATGTAAGAAATCATCAGGAGACAGGCACAGGGACGAGGAGTGAGGGGGATGTAGCCCCTGTATTTTTGAATCTTTCAGGCTTTAGGGGGTAGCACCTGTGTCTGAAATTATTTTCACCATTTTCAGAAAATAGCTTCATACCCAAGTTGGAGTGATACACCCTGTAGTTTCATCCCTGAGGAGATGGGAGTAGCAGAAGGTCAGTTGAAAGATAAGGCCATTCTAGACACATTGTGAGATCCTTTCTCAACAAGTAAGAAAATAAAAACAGAGAGTGGAAGAAAATAGAAAAGAAGGAAGAAGGGAAGGAAGTAAGGGAGAGAGGGAAAATCCAAGAGGAGAAAAAGGGAAGGGAAAGATCTGGGGAAGGTGAGACTTGGGAGATAAGAGAAGCCCCCGCTCACTCTTATGAGAACCTAGAGAAAGAAGAGAGGACGTGAAAGGAGAATGGTAAGATTCAAAGAACACCCCCAACCCATGGCGGCCCCAAGAGAAAACTCACCAGAGTTACCACATACAGCAACATGCCGTGGATAAACCATAACTTCACCGGGTGCTTGAGGGTGGAGGGAATTTCTGTAGTGAGAAAGTGCTGAATAAGAACCCATGCAAAGACTCCCACTAAGAAGGAGGGCAGCCCTGCCAGCAGCAGCCACAGGACAGCCATGACCCAGATGCTCCACAGCCCCCAGCAGCTGTTGCCTGGGGACCTGACTTCAGAACTTGTGTGAAGAGAACCTGATCCTGTTTTAATACTGTTGCCTCCACCCTCTCCTTCCAGAGTATGTCTGGCAGAGTGACCTGACTTGTATTCCAGAACTGCACAGAAGCCAGCCAATGAGAGGCAGAGAAATCTTCTCAGAAAAAAAAAAAAAGATCGAGAAATCTCTCCTATCCTCTAAGAAGAAACCTAGAATGGGGCTCCAGAGTTTAGACTCTTACAATCATCCCAGCTTCTGTGGGTCCCAAGAAGAGGTCTGACAAGGTTTCACAGGCCTAAAGGCCTGACACTTCATCTGTATGAATGGCATGCAGCTCCTTCACAAAAGAGCACAGGGTTAAATGAACAAGGCACTTCTCATCACAACCCTGTGCTTTACTACCCTTCAATGTTTATGGACACAACACAGGATGCAGAGATCTGAGGAGACTCTTCTCATTACAGTCATCAGTCAATGGTCAGGAAATGATCAGCAGGTAAATTAAAGCACCTGTCAACAAGATTGACAACCTGATCCCAAGACTCACATAGTACAAGGAGAGAGTTGAAATCCCCATGTTGTCCTCTGACCTCCACACATGTGCTGTGGTAAGCAAATACACACACAGACACAGACACAGACACAGACACA